AGGCAGAGGTTAAGTGACCTCCCAAAGGTCACATTCCTGTAAGAATCTGAGGCCAGATTTTAAACTCAGGTCTTCCTGACTCCAGGTCCAATTTGTATCCAATGTACCACCTAGCTGTCTAAGGGAGAAGGTGGTTTAAGGGGAAAATTAGTAGTAAGAAAAACAAACTCTGGGAATATACAAAAATATTTATGTCTCTTTTTGTTGTGGCAAAGAATGTAGATCTAAAGGGGCCCTCTTCAATTGGGAATGTCTGGACAAGTTATGTGATAGAATACCATTGTGCTGTAAGAAATGATGAAAGGGATAGTTTCAGTGAAACATAGGACGGCTTGTATGAACTGGCACAGAGTGAAGTGAGCAGAAGGAGGGGAGCAATTTATACATGACAACAATATGGTAAAGGGAAACAACTCTGAAAGACTTAGAAGCCTGATTAGCATAACAACCAACCGTGGTTCTAAAGGAATCATGATGAAATATGCTACCACATCCTGATAGAGAGGTATAGGACTTGGAGTACAAAAGGACACTTGTATACCTACCTACCTACCTACCTACCTACCTACATACATACATACACACACACACACACACACATACACATTTGTTTTTGTTTTTCTCAACTAGGGGGCTGGGAGGGAGGAAAGGGGAATTTTGATTGAAAAAAAAATGATACTCAATTTAATTTTTTAAAGCTATCTTTGGAGCTAGGAAATGATAGCCTCATTGCTTAGGTAAGGTGATGTGATGTTAATAGGTGACAGAGAAAGCAGAAGTACTCAACTAATTTGCTTTGGTCTTCTATAACAGAGAATGGTTTTCAAGCTGAAAAGGAGAACAAATAGAATTCATTCAACAATAGTTGAATACTTTGCCAAGTGTGATTATTGAACCAGCTGCAAAAACCCTTAGTAATACTTTCAACTAGTCTGTATTTCACCTATGAGAGATGAAATCATCTAAAGTACCTGCCTGTTGTTCAGTTTAACCCAGGCACAGGGATGAAAATCAGTGCTGAGGTGCTGAACAACTTGGGGAAACTGGTGCCAAAATCACATTAATGTATTCGGCATAGTTGCTAACCCCATCCCACCTTCTGTCAAAGTTACATAGTTTGGGAAAAGGAAATTTTAAAAACCTCATCTCTGATACTAGAGTTTTAGCCAAAATTCTGACTGGTTAGAAATTTTAAGTATATGAAATAAAATGACTGTAGTATTGAAATTGAAAGCATGCCAAGAATGGATCCTGACCTGCTACTGTGTATGTGTGACTAGCTAGTTTGTTAATGGAGAAGCCTCTGGACTTTGACCAAGTTAAAAGCAATTGGATACAAAGGACCATAAGATTTGGATATGGAAGGGACCTTCAAAATCACAAATTTCAAGTCTCCCATTTTTACAGATGAGGAAATTGAGGCCTCTAGAGGTGAAGTCATTTGTCCAAGGTAGTAAATACAGCATCAGAAATTGAGTCCGGATTCTCTGACTAAATTACTCTTCCCACTGTACTAGGCTGGTTCATCTTGTTTCATTTGAAACAATTTAAAAAAACACAAACAAAAAACCAAAAGAAACAATTTAATTTAGTTTATCAGACCTTTTCTATCCTATCTGGTAATTTTGTACAAAAGAGTTTCCGCTAAGTACAGATTACACTAGATGGCCTTTTAGATATTATAGTTCTTTTTAGATTGGCGAAAAGATTAAGGGAAGACATAATAGTTATCTTCAAATGCCATATCACAACTCTGACTTACGTATTGAAGGTTTACAAGCACTTTCCTCACAATTATTGTCAGCTAGTTAGTGAAAGGATTATCTGCCTTTGAAAAGTGAGCACTGTGAAGAACAAGAAGTCCAGGGCCACCAAGTCACAGTACTCCACATTCTTGGCCTGAGCTCTGGGCTTCTGACTCCAAGACAAATGCTTCTGCCGTTCTCAGCTGTAGAAAGGAAAGTAGATTTGATGGCTTAACTAGCACCAATCAGTAGGAATTACAGACAGTCAGATTTTGATTCAGTAAAAGGAAGAATATTTTGAAGAATAGAGCTGTCTAATGGTGGAGCAGTTATCCCAGATGCATAGACAGGTTACCTTTACTGGAGGTACTTTCAGGTTGAGTGGTCACTTGTCAGGGATTCCATAAAGAGGATCATTGTTTGAGTAGGAGTTTGGATTAGATAATTTCCCATTCTCAAATTTAATGATCCTATGTGCACCCTGGGAAATTGAGTTCAAGTTTGGAAGATAGCTTTAAAGGTTAGGGTTTCTTACATTCCAATGTTAATGAAGTAGGATGAACTGTTTCCTCCCTAGATTAAAGATGATGAAATGACCTGTCAGCCAGAGCAAGAAACTTGACCTTCAAAGTCCACTAATGGAAAGTCTCCTAAGAAATCACTGGGCTCGCCAGCATTATTTTTGTTACTATCACTATGATGTTGGTGTTTTTAATTCTAAAATTCACATGCTCTTTCCAGTGCCCTAAATAATATTCCAATGTCACAAAGTCAGTTTTCTTCCTTAATAGAAAGTATAAGTTTCAGCCAATGAGAGTTCTAAGTGCTCAGCATAGCCCTAAAAGTGGGTATCCCCCAGGTCTCTATCCAGGGCCCTGTTTTTCCTCTTTATATGGTTTTACTTGGCAATCTCATCAGCAACCATGGATTCAATGATCATACCAGTGCTGATGATTCTTATTATCCAGCCATAACCTTCAGAATCACATATCCAACTGCTTATTGGACATCTCAAACTGAATGTCCTATGGGTATCTCAAACTCAATATGTCCAAAACTAAACCCATTTGCTTTGCACCAAACTTTTCCTATCCCCCAAACTTCCCTATTGCTGTCAAGAGTGCCACCATCCTCCAAGTCTCTCAGGTCTATAATCTAGGTCATCCTTGCATTTTCATTCTCTCTCACCCACACCCTGATTTGTTTTGTTGCCAAGTCCTGTCAGTTTTACCTTTGAAACCTCTCTTGCCTGCTTCTTTTTATCTCCTTTGACACTGCCATGATCTGGTGTAGGCCCTTATCAGCTCATGCCTGGATTATTGGACTAGCCTGCTGGTTGGTCTCCTTGCCTCGGGTCTCTCCCTATTCTATCCCGTCTTCCCACTTAGTTGTCAAATTGATCTTCCTAAAACATATATCTGACCATGTCACCTCCTTATTCGATAAATTCTAATGACTTTCTATCACCTTTAGGATCAAATATAAAATCCTTTGGCATACAAAGCCTTTCAAAACCTGGCTCCCTCCTACCCTTTCAGTTTTCTTATACTTTACCCCTCCCCCCACATATCCAGTGATACATCCTTGGTGTTCCTTGGGGGTGTTCACCTCTGGTATTAGGATTTGTAGAACCCTTTTCAGGGCTGCTTATCTCCCTTTGGTATCTACTTGTCACCCAATTCTAACTCATGCCTCTAAGAAGCGATAGCATGCATGGTGGCTCATCCCAGTAAAAACCGTCTCAGGGGATGTCTACCTCAAACATCTGAAGCATGTGAAGACTTCCACCAGCTGAATAGGCAGATGAGAATAATTTGTTCCAAGGTCCATGAAAGTGGTTGAAGCAGACACTGTGGAGTGCTTAGAACTTGGTCAGACAGTGAAGATGCCAAGGTCATCCACTACTTCCTGGGCCATGGCCAGTCATCCTGACTTTTGTCTTGTTACTGGATTTCTATAACTCTGCAAGAGAAAGTGAGGCTGACTATTTTATGCAACTCTGCCTCATTTAAATCCAATTCACTCGGAAGTCAAGACATCACCCTGTGATGTCATTGGACCTCCTCGAAAATGAAAGATTAAGATCAACAACTGTGCTACAGTTACATGTATTTGTGCATTTTCTCTTTTCTTGGATTTCTTAATTACATAATGAACCTGGGCTCTAACATTTTTTCATTCGGTGATTCCAATTGAGGAGCTTTTCAGCAGTAATTTTAAAAATCTGGCATCTCTATTTTCTCAGATTTTTAGACTTATTTCATGCAATATTTTTGTGGATTAATATTATAATCATATACTTGGGAATGGGGTTAGAAAATTTCCATTTCTATGACCCAAGGAAATAGGTCAAAAAATCAATTAACATGTATTTATTAAGTGTCTGCTATATGTCAGGCACTCTGTTAGGTGCTAGAGATAATAGGACAAATAATGAAACAATCTTTCCTCGCAATGAGTTTACATTTTCATGAGGAAGACAGCAAGTACATATAAAAATTTATATAGCATAAACAGAAAGTGACTGAATATAAGTGTATACACAGTACATAAATACAAGGTAGTTCGGGAGGGAGGTCACTAGCATTTGGGGGTCAGTGCAGTCTAGATTCATTGTTTCAAAGTTCTACTTTAGGTTACATGTCAAAAATATTTTAATAGAAGCATTAGTACAAAGCAGTGATTGAGAAATACTCAATTCTTTGCAACTCAATAGCCCAATCTGTGAATTGAGATGCATAAAGAATGCCAACAGTTATGATACTTTCGTTGTTTGTGAGTTATGGGAATGGCACCTTTTCAAATATTTCATGACGTTAATTTCCAGGAGTTTCAAATGATCTTGTGCAAATAGAGTGCAGGAATGCCAATAGAAATCCTGGGTCTGACGTGAATAGCATTTTGGTGTTACAATAGAAATCTGTTAGCTGGGGCTATAGGTAACAGGTTTTTAATAGGCTGTGACGCAATTCTTAATGGAGAAGATTTAATTGTAAAAGATAGCCTGCTTCTAATGGAAACTTGGCCCTCTGCTATTCTGTTGCTAAGTGAATTAAAAGGTTTACATAAGACTACATTGTTGATGTTCTGGAGGGGGGGGGGACAAAAGCGAAACAATGCCCAGCACCTTGAAAACATTCCACTTCGGTTGTTTGTTTTTCCTCCTTCTACAAAGCAGCAGATCTCACAGAAATGTCATTTACTCAATTCCATTTTTAAATGCACTTAAAATGAACATGCTCTTTCTGCTTTCAGGGGTTAAACATCTGAAAAACCAGAATGACTCACCATTCCCAGAGGAAGAAGAAGGAGTAAATGAAAGAGAAGATCAGTGGGAACACTAGTCGCAGAAATGAGGCGAGAAAGGTTCTTGTGAATAACTGAACTGCTAACCTTTCCAAATATCCCCTGAACCTCCACTGCTTGGCTTCTGGAAGCATTCGCCATCTTGGCACTCCATAATCTCTCAGTAGTGTGCCTTCAGGGAAGCACTCCACTGGATTCTAGCACCATGTGCATCTTCTTCCATAGCACTTATCACCCAGGAATAAACATTTATTTTACAGTAATCTTTCTTTGTAATGATTTAGAAATGCTATCTGCAAACATGTTAGCAATCTAACTTAAATATTGCCAGGGCTTAATTCCCAATGTCTTTCTGTTATGATTTGCATTAAAGGTCAACTGTAAATAGTACCCTTCTAAAGCTACAAAATAAATACAAAATTCCTTTAGACATGGTTTTGTGTCTGAGTCAAATCTGGAGAAAAATGCTTAGTGAAAGGTGAACATCTAAGTCACCACATTTATCACACTTAAGTATACAATGTGGGATTTAGCATATGCCCCAAAATGATGATGCTGGCTCTGGTGAATCATAAGACCGCACTATACTAAGCTCTTGGCACTCTATATAACTACTTACTTCTTCCTCTATGACTGTTATTTAATGGTATTTAAAATGAACACTAGATTTCTCATTTTTCAAGCTTAGAAAAGTTCTTTTTCTCAGTCTCTTCCTTTTCTGATCAAAACAAAACACAATGATTTTTTTAAAAAAGACTCTGGGTCCAAAAAAAGAAATTTCTTTATGTTTTGCTGAAAATATCTCACCACTGTACTTATTTATATTATTTTCATTTTCTCAGGATCATCAATATTGTGTATTTCCTTAACCTTAATATGTTAAAAATGTCACTTGTTTCAAGAGACTATGTATCCCTTAAACTCATTTTTTCTTATTTAAAATGGTATCATCATCTGATAACTACTAACATGGTAAGTAAGCATTCTCCATCAAATTTTAAATGTAATCTCTACATTATAAAATCTTGTGTGGAAACCAGCATGGGTGGGTCACCATGGTGGTAGTCTTAGTGAAGCTGAGAATTTTATGGATATAAAGGATGATTAGTTTTCATTCAGAAAATATTTTTTTTTCCTGATTTTCAAAAGCTGGAACTTCTACCACACATGGAAACTTCGAGTTGGAAGGAGAAGAATTTTTTTTTTAAATTAGAGCTAATTTAACTGTGGAATGACCGTGTTCAAATCCCACACATTTTAACACGACTTGAGAGCACTGCAGGTTGGCACTGTGGATACAAAGATAAAAGTGTACGGTTCTTGCCCTCAAGGAGCTCACATTCTGTGTGTGTGTGTGTGTGTGTGTGTGTATTGGGGAAGTATTATTCCAAACACAGGAGAGTAGAAGACTCACATAAACCTACCCCAGGAATCATTTGAGATAAAATTTATATTAGAGATCCCTTTTCTAGAGGCAGCTGGTGGTATGGTGGATTGAGTGCTAGCTTGGAATTAGGAAGACGTGCTCAAATCTGGTCTCAGATACTTGTTAGTGGCATGATCCTGGGCAAGTCACTTAATCATTGTCTGCCTTAGCTTTCTTCACTGCAAAATGGGGATAATAATAGCACATCAATAGAGTGCTAGGCCTGAAGTCATGAAGACTCATTTTCCTGAATTCAAATCTGGCTTCAGACACTCACTAGCTGTGTGACCCTGGACAACTCACTTAATCTTGTTTGCCCCCCCACCCCCCTCAACCCCTGTTTCCTCTTCTGTAAAATGAACTAGTGAAGGAAATGGCAACTCTAGTATCTCTGTCAAAATAAACAACAGATGTGGTCATAAAGAGTTGGACACAACTGAAATGATACAACAAAATCTTTCAGGGTTGTTGTGACAATCAAATGAAACTATTTGTGAAAAGCTCTTAGCATGCTGTCTGGCACATAGTAGATGATATATGAATTCTTATTCCCTCTCCCTCCTAGCAAATTTTTTTCTGAGGAAGAAAATACAAAAGACATTAATGAGTATGTGAAATAACCTTTTTTTGGGGGGGCTGCTTTTTCTCTCTTGATAAAGCAATGATTCTCAGATTTTCTGGAGTTTCTAAGTAACCTATTAGTATTCATTTGATTTCCTAATGCTTTTCTCTTTACTCCTAAAATGGTGCTTGCTACATATTTTTGTGTTTGTTTGTTTGCTTGTTTGTTTTTTTAAGAAGGATGGAAATTGGATACGTGATTTCATTTGGTATAGGGAATTCCCAGGTGAGGAAACTCCCTCTATCAATGTAGATCTCTTCCTTCTCTGTGATGGGGTGCTTGTACTTGGATCCCAGCCCCAGCACTATATTTCTCCCCAGCACAAAAGCTCTGTCTGTGGCAAAAACTCATGAGTGGGTCCCAGTGAGGCAAATATCTCTTCCTGCTACAAGAACATGCTGACCTCTGCAGAGTTTCCCTTGTATGAACAGGATTATCTTGCACCAACAGAACTATCATGTACTGATTCCCACAGTTACCATATACAATCCGAGGGTCAGACACCAGCTCCTGAGGCTATCTTGTATAAACAAGACAGCCACACCAGTAGTGCATGATGCTTGTGGCCAAGATACAAAAACTGTATGTTCACCACCTAATTAGAATACCCGGCACACCATTCACTGAACTTTTGCTATATAAGCTTTAGCATCATCCACATTAAGTTGCAAGTTCCCTAAGGAGCTCTGCCTACATATTAGTGTTACAATAAACTTTTTGCCACTTGACCAGAAGACTGCTTGAGTTCCTGAATTCTTTCCAGATGACTCCACCCTGTACCCTGATAGTTTTGGGGTCCCTGTTCCCTTAAAATGCATCATTCTGTAAGTGACAGCCTCAGATGCTTAGAGCAGATGTGTCCAGCCCTCAGCTAAAGACTCCAATGTGAAGCCGGAACCAGATTAAAATGTAACTGGGAAACATTTAACAAGATAAACAAAAATCTTAGAACACAGATAATATTGATATGTGGTTTTCTAAGTCCATATGCAGCCAGCAGGGATCCTTATCTTCCATTTAATGGCTCCGGTTCTCACTTTGGTTTGACACCACTGACCTAGAGCACTTAGAAGTTAAGGGACTTCCCCAAGGTCATACAACCAGGATTGTCAGAGAAAGAGCTTGAACCCTGTTCTTCTTAGCTCTGAGGTCAGGTCTCTAATCACAGTACCACAATGACTCTGGGGTTTTTGTTGTGATTTCAAATTACTTTTCATTTGGAGAATTTCATGATGCCTTTTGACATGGTCAGAACCACAACCAGGTTTGTAGAAAGCCCAGGATTTAGAATCAATATGTTAAATGTTGCTCTTGATTAACCATTTATTTTTTTAAATAAAAAAAGAACCCAATGTATAAAAATATAGTGAAGGTATTTAGTGATATTAGTGCTTTTGTCTGGGAATAGCATCTAGAGTCTTCCCTAGTTTGTATCAACAGAACACAATGAAATGTAAATTAAAAGCCAAGCTTAAGATTTTTTTTGAGTGTATGGGTTTGTTTTGTTTTACTTCCTACAAATTTGAAGCAAAAAAGTTTCATCTAGTTGAAATAATGGATTTCTATTACTCCCTTTCATTCAGTTACTAGTACGTTTACAACAAAGAATTCTTAAAACCTGGCCTCCCTCCTGCAGTTACTTAGCTCATGGGGTCTATATTTATGGGCAAGTAGTCTTCCTTTCCAAGAAATGGATGATGACTCAGGAAAGGAGACAAAAAAAGGAAATGTGCACTTCTCATATGCCACTGATAATCTCTTGATACTCACAGTAACTCTCCCCACTACACTGTACTACACAGTGAAGGAAGAAAAGCACTTGATTTAAAGTCAAAGGACCACTGTTTAAAGCATAGGCCTGCTTTTTACTACCTGTATGACTTTGGATAAGTCACTTTACTTTTATGAGATTCAGTTTCCTTATTTGTTAAAAGAGAGGGTTGGGCTAGATGAAATCTAAGATCCCTTCTAGGTCTAAATCTTTGTTGTTGTTGTTTGTCTTTCATTCTTGAAAAGGACCAATGATATCAGGAAGGTGACATCTTGACAATACTGAATTAGATATGAGTGATCAGCCTCATTCCTCCACTCATCAAAGTCCAGGAACAAGACAAAGGTTAGACAACTGGTGATGGCCAAGAATACAGTGGATGACCTTGGTCTTCCTAAATTAAAGTCTTTCCCTGGTCTCTGTTTGTTTGAGGCAATGCCCATTCAATGACTCTGGATTGGGCAAGGCTTGAGACAAAGATGGCTCAATTTACCATCACAAAGATATCAATCTGGCAGAGGAAAATCCTCAGAGTTTCTGGCCTGAACAGAAAACAATTGCTATTTACACTTATTCTAAGCCATTGAAACCTTTAATAAGCCATAAAGGCTTGTGTTGGAGTTATTATTGGGCATTCAATGAAAGCCAGTGATTTGGATTTAAGGTGGAGTCTAGTAGCTCCATTTAAAACACAATGGGCTTTTAAAAGCCTGTCTTTTCAGAGCTATATTTCAAGAAATCAAACCAAAATCCATGCAAAAGTAATTGTCCCAGTATTTTGAAGAAAAAAAAGTAATTAAAAATGAGGAGGAAGAAGAAGAAGAGGAAGAAGAAGGAGGAGGAGGAGAAGAGATGATAATGATGATGATGTCATGATTGGATACCTGTTTGTAAATGTGAAAACTTGAGACCATAGAAGTTGTGAATTACCTAAGGGCAAGCAGAAATTAGGCAATGGACTGAAGACTGGACTCAGACCTTTTGATTCCTAACCCAGGAAGTTTTCCACTACAATGCCCATTGCATATTTCTCCCCAGAGTACTCAGTGGTAACTGTTCCAGTCATTATTTTCATGGGCTACCAGAAGCCATTTTCTTTCCTGCAATATTTTCCCTCACTGCCTACCTTTAAATTAGTGTATGGTAATGCCAAAACAAATAGCCACAAGCTACAGTAGTTGAATCCACTTAATTGCAATGATTTTCATTGCATAATTTTAAAAAAGAAAAAACTACTCATCTTTCCTTGATCCACATGTACAAACAATTCAGGTTAATTGCATACTAGGTAATAGAAAATCCTGCCTAATCACATCAAAGGTTTTTAAACCTTTTAAACCTTTTAAACCTTGATGCAATATTTTGCTTGCCTTGAGGAAAATCTTGGTGTGGTTGTGGGTGGGGGTATAGGGAAGGGGGACAGAGAAGGAGAAGTTGCCAGAAAGAGTCTTTTACTTGCTTTCTAAATTCTTGGTTCTAGGTACCCAAATCTCAAAGCATGAACTTTTGTAGCAACTATCTCAGAACAAAAAACAACCACCACCATCACAACAAAATTCTGTGTTTCTCAAACTTGAAAAT